ATATAATACATATTGTATTTCAACTGATTATGCAACTCCAAATATTATAGCAAGAAATATCTTTACAGAATGGATAAAAAGAGAAAATATAGAAAATGAAACATTTCATGTATTTTTATATGCTAATGAAGAAAATCAAAAGAAAAGAATTATAAAAAGAAATAGAGGAGTTATTTCAGAAATGAATTTTTATTATGTTAATCAAATTAATACTCTTTATAAACATTATTTAAATGAACATTTTACTTCTAAAGAAAATAATGAAGAAACATTATTTATTAAAAAATTACATAAAGATGCAATTATTCCTACAAGAGGAACAGAACAATCAGTAGGTTTTGATTTATATAGTATTGATGATAATATTATTTATCCACATGATAGATGTTTAATTTCTACAGGAATTGCTGTACAAATCCCACATTCCTGTTATGGTAGAATTGCACCAGGTTCATCACTAGCAATTAAATATGGAATTGATATTGGAGGAGGAGTTATTGATGAAGATTATAGAGGAGAAATAAAAGTAATAGTATTTAATCATTCAAATACTATATATAGATGCAAGAAAGGAGATAGAGTTGCACAACTTATTATTGAAAAAATAAAACAATGTAAAATTGAAGAAGTGAAAGAAATAAGTGAAACAATAAGAGGAGAGAAAGGATTTGGATCAACAGGTAAATGAATAATTTTTGATCTTTTTAATTTCATTTAAAAATACAGTATGGAAAATAAAATAATCATTAGTGGAGGAATTGGGACAGGTAAAACAACAATAATAAAAGCATTAGCAAAATACTTTAATCCAGATGAAGTAGGAATAATAGAAGAACATGTCCGATGGGATGAAATAAATAAAGTACTACAAACAACAAGTAAAGAAAATTCAAATAAAAAGAAACATCTCATTGAAATACTTAAAGAATATTTAAATGATTATGAAGAACAAATAGAAAAGAAACAAAATAAAAGAATACTCCTTATTGAAAGACAACCAATTGAATTAATTGATACATTCTGGGATCCAGAAGAAACAGATGATTTATTAAATACTCAAGAAATCAAAATATTAAAAGAACAAGCAAATAAAATAATTACTAAATATATAATAAAAT